CACACACAATTTAAAAAGATAGTTAATAAAGAGTGAAACTTTGAGCCAGGCAGCGGTGGCATAGGCTTTTAATCACAGCACTTATCTGAGTTCAGGGACAGTTTGGTCTATAGAGTCAGTTCCAGGACAGCCACAGCGGTGGCATAGGCTTTTAATCACAGCACTTGAGAGGCAGCGGCAGGCAGATATCTGAGTTCAGGGACAGTTTGGTCTATAGAGTCAGTTCCAGGACAGCCAGGCTATACAGAGAAACCCTGTCTCAAAACAAAACAAACAAAAAAGAATAAACTTTGATCTGCTCGGTGAGTATGCTAAGGCATAGGTTTAACTTAACAAATAAGTGAGTTTTCCCATGCCATATTTCTTGCCTTTAAAATGCTATGGATTATGGAAGAATTGGAAAAAATGGTAACACTGTATAAAGATAAACTTAAGGTTTAGTACAGATATTAAAAAATTATCACCTCTTGATAAACAAATTGACTAATACCTTCTACTCAAGAAAATTTGTTCAGAAAATAGACAAGTAGCCCGTAAATTGGCTGGTGCCCAAGCAGATGTGTTAGGTTAGCTAATATAAACTGGGAGTCCAGAGGTAGATCCTGATTTCATGCTCACATGATCCAAGGGTTCATCTGATACCATGAAAACAAGCCTTCATCCCTTTCTCTTTCCTCAGGAGGTTATTTCCTGGCAAGGATAAGATGCTGTGGGTATCCGTTCTATCTTTTGGGAACTCTACTGGAAAGTGCTTCATTTCCCTGTCATCCCAGCAGAAAACCAAGGTTGAGGTTCATTAGACTAAGTTCACTCATAACGCCAGTTCTCTAAAGCAGTTATTGGTCAAGCATGGAGTCTGTGTGTGGGCTTGAGGTAAAGCATGTGGACTAAGACAGGGGTGATTAGTGCCTAATGAAAAAGATTTCTGTTATCAGAAGAAAAGGCAGCAAAACAACAGATGTCACTAGGTCAAATAGAAGAGAAAAATGGAACTCTGAGAAGACAAAGGTTTGCTTAATGTCTAATGCCTAAGACAATCTGTACTATCTGTAAACATACAACCCTTCCTCATATGTGCTTGCATACACTCTCTCTCTCTCTCTCTCTCTCTCTCTCTCTCTCTCTCTACTCCTCCTTGTCAGATTCCACTTGAAGTGTATAATTTCAAACACCCTGTCATTGTCCCTGGCTCTCTTGCTATTATAAGATATTATGAATGCCTGGATGTGGTGGTGTTTGGCCTTAATCCCAGCACTCTAGAGGTAGAAGCAGGAAGATCTCTGTATTGGAGGCCAGCCTGGTCTACATAGCAAATTCCAGGCCAAGTAGGGCTACAATAATGAGACACTGTCATAAAAATACTATGAGCAGAGAAAATATAGAACATCCTTCCATACAGAACACTAAAACAAGCTTCATTCCCATGTCTTCATGAGTTCCTAATAATAAGATTTTAATTTTAGGGGCGCCGATGTGTCTTGAAAGACTGCTGCAAAATTCTTGACAATACAGTATTACCTCCAGAAACTGTGGTCCCACCATTCACCGTCTTCTCAGGCTGCCCAGGTAACATTGATGTTAATGTCTGTTTCAGCCTCCTTAAAACTGTTTTCCATTACTAAAATAATCTAGATGACTTCTTACTCTGTGATATGTGATTTAGCAACAAAATATCTAGAAAAGGCATATACATACGTTACATTTGGTGGTAGTGGTATTTGTTTTTGTTTTTTTGTTTGTTTTGTTTTGTTTTGATTTTTTGAGGCAGGGTTTCTCTGTGTAACTGCCATAGGCTGTCCTGGAACTCCTTTTGTAGACCAGGCTGGCCTTGAACTCACAGAGATCCTCCTGCCTCTACCTCCCAAGTGCTGTGATTAAAGGTGTGCGCCACCAATGCCTGGCTTGTGTTTTGGTTTTTCCAAGACAGATTTCTCTGTGTAGCTTTGGAGCCTGTCCTGGAACTGGCACTATAGATCAGGCTGGTCTTGAACTTATAGAGATCCACCTGCTTCTGCCTCCTGAGTGCTGGAATTAAAGATCTGTGCCAACACTGCCTTGGGATGGGGTCTCGCTGTGTAACCTAGGATGGCCTGGAATTCACTATGTAGGTTAAACTACCTTGATCTCAAAGAGATGTGCCTGCATGTGCCTCTGAGTGCTGAGATTGAAGGCATGCACCACCACATCCGGTGAACAATCTGTATTTTGAATGAATAACTGGATTTACAAGGAAAAAAGGAAATTATTAGAAACAAAAAAAGAAATGAGATCCAAGCTGGAAGACTGCAGGTGTTAAATGCTGACTTCATAGTAGAGTGATTTAAAATGTAGTACTTGTGTGGGGATAGGAGATAAAGCCTTAGATCTGCACATGGCAGAGAGACTCTCAAATACCTTTGAAGGGTTTCCCCTCAAGTTTGCTATAGGGCTGGAGAGATGGCTCAGTGGTTAAGAGCACTGAATGCTCTTCCACAGGACTTGGGTTCAATTCCAAGCATGCACATGGCAGCTCAATTTTATGTAACTCCATTTCCAGGGGATTCAACTCCCTTTTCTGGCCTCTGTAGTTACCAGGTACACACAAGGTAAATAGACATACATGCAGGCAAAACACCCATAGACATAAAAATAAATAACATTTAAGAAAAAAAGGTTGCTATGGAACAAATCTGCCACCAGCACATGGTAAGGACAAAGAAGCTTTTCTGTCTAGGTCTGGGCTCTGAGTGGACAAAGTGGAAAGAAAAAAATCTTTTTAGAGATTTGTGTGCTTCATTTTTTTAATGTATTCAAGTTCCTTAGTACCAACTTCTTATGGTCATTGAATACTAGTGTCAGAAGACAAGGAACCATCCTGGTATTTCAGGTAGAAATAATAAAGACTATTTGAAAAGGCCCAGCTTCGTGGGACCATCTAGGTCTCTGTATATGAGGAAACTGAGACTGGAAGGTGGGCTATCCACAGTGTCAAAGCCTTGTCCAGCTTCAAAAGACCCCTCATTAAAACTTCTGGTGTTGCTTTTGAGTAGTTTCACAAATAAATGCCAGACATTAGGGTACTTTATTGACACTTTCATCTTTGAATTCAGACATGTGGGCTTGCAGGGAACCTGGCACATTTGTGAGCACTACAGGAGATAAAATTGAGCCAGGAAACAAAAAGAAATGGAAACCAGGATGAATCTTGATCAGAAGCCATGAGCTCTGCTGCTACTGCAGCCATGCAGATAATGCAGTAATTGAAGTCACAGCCAATCATGGCTGTTTGACATGGCACTGAGAGCATGAAATCTGATGTTTAAGGAACAGCTGAAAATGGGAATTTTATGTGGTATCTCTGAATTTTTAAAGTTGTCTAATTATTACTCTGGTTAAAGATTAGATACTGTAAAGTTTAGGGGCTGGAGAGATGGCTCAGCTGTTAAGAGCACTTGTTTCTCTTGCAGAGACCTGGGTTTGATTCTAAGCACCCACATAACTCACAGCCATGCATAAATCCACTTCCAGGAGATCTAAAGCCCTCTTCTGACTTCCTGGGGCACCAGTTATGCACATGATGTACAAACATACATGCAGGCAAAATATCCATACACATTAAAAAAAATTTTGAGCCAGTTGTGGTAGCGCATACCTTTAATTGCAACACTCAGGAGACAGAGGCAGGCAGATCTCTGAGTTTGAGACCTGCCTGGTGTGCATGGTGAGTTCCAAGACAGCCAGGATTACATAGAGACCCTGGGTCAAACAAACAAAACAAAACAAAACAAGACAAAAATACTGTGAAGTTTAAACATGTTTGCAGGCCTAACATGCACTTTTTAATTATAGAGTGCCTATGAGAAATTTATGAGGTTTTTTTTTGTTTGTTTGCTTTACATATACCCAATACATTTTGTAAAAATATGTAAAATATGTGTGCTTATATGTTTGAATGGAAAATGTAGGTATTTGAAACTGCACCTATATAAATGAAACCAAACTATTACTCTGTACTGTTCAGAAACTATCATTTATTTAGCAATATACCTTGGGCAGCTTTTCAGATGGTATATAGAGAGCCACATCATTCCTCTCAAGTGTTACAGGTTTCACACACTGCATAGGTGGATTTACTACAAAGCATTGAATCAGTTCCATAGTATAATGGGCATTATTAGAAACTGCTGTCTTGACACTCTTTTACGTGTGTTGAGAAATTGGGCACAGTAATCTCTGGCGTACATTCTTAGAAGCTGACTTTATGGGCTATAGGATATGAACCTTGAAAACTTTGCTGGCTATTTTTTTCTTTATGTGTCTTTGCCTGCGTATATCTCTGTACTACAGGCATGCAGCACCCAGACCTGGAGTTACAGGTGGTTGTTAGCTGCCTTGTGGGTGCTGGGACTGAAACTCAGAGTTCTGCAAGGTTAGTGCCCTTAACTGCCAAGACAGCTCTCTAGCCCTTTGCTAGCTATTTTTAAAGTGTTCTTCAAAACACCACATGATAGGGCCTGGAGAGATGGCTTTGTAGTTAAGAGCTGCACTTCAGAGGACTTGAGTTCAATTCTTACTACCCACATGACAGCTCATAATTGTAACTAACTCCAGTTCCAGGAAGTCCAACACCCTTTCATGGATGAATGTAGGCAAAATACCAATGCACATTAAAAAAAAAAAATCCACAGAGTAAGTTCCAGGACATTACAGAGAAACCCTGTCTCAAACAAACAAAACCTGCATGAGTGTAAACATTAGCTCAAAGTACCTGGTTCAGATTTTTTTTTTTTCCTGAGGCAGAGTTTTCCTGTATAGCCTTGACTGGCTTAGAATCTGTTGTGTAGACAGGCAGAGATCTTCCTGTCTCTGCTTCCTTTGATTCATTTGCACCTAGTATCATGACTTTGGTTTTATTGTGCTAGACTGAGTTTCACTGTAGGAATGGCAGGACAGTTCTACCCTCAGGGATAAGGATAAAACTGGTTCAGTGGGGTTCACACTGGCATCCTAGGAGTGGAAAGCCATTGTGTGGAATGATGCTGAGAGCAGGCAGAGGTGCTTTCTTTTCTCTTTTATCCTGTAAATATGTTCTGATCTCCTCCACCTGAAATTTGTTTCTTTATTTGGAGAGCTGTAGTGCTTGTTTCCCAAACACAAACTCAGACCTTTCAGAAGATGTCAGTAGTCAATAGTCTTGTCAGTCTGAAGGTGAAGGACCTCACAGTTAGATCCTCGAAATAGATCCCAGAAGTTGTAGGCTTTGCACAAAGGGTAGGGCTGCAGGCCTCCTGGCTCCCTTGCTTGACTGAGTCTCTCTTTCCCCAGGACTCTTCTCAGGAGAGCTCCCAGAGTGCACGCAGGAGCTGATGGTTGATGTCACCAAGAGCTACTACCAGAAGTTTCTGCCACTGACCCAAGTCTAATGCCTCTGCTTTATATCTTGAATTCCTTTGAACTCTAAGATGAACTGGGAGATAAAGTGAGCAGTCAGTAACTACAAGAGCTGCCGTACTTTTGACCACTTCTACTCTCCTTGATTTTTTTTAAGTTTAGAATTCTTCAATCCTCCAAGATTCTGAGCATTTAGGAATTTAATAGGAAGGCTGGAGAGATGGCTCTGTTGCTAAGAGTACTGGCTATTCTTTCAGAGGACCCAGGTTCAGTTCTCAGCACCCACATGGCACCTTACAACCATCTGTTACTCCAGTTCTTGGTGATCTGATAGGTTTCTGGCCTCCCTAGCACCAGATATACATGTGGTACAGACATATTATGCAGCTAAAACATCCCATCACATAAAATACCTTTTTAAAAACATAATTTTAACAAGAGAGCATCTGGAGGAGTTTTCTTTATCTGCTGTGCTTACACCTGATCTATCCAACAGTTGTTGTACCATTGTCTGAGGGGGGCAGAAAGGTCAGTTCCCAACACTCCAGCCCTGTGGTCCTGCAGATGGCTGGAACCTGGCTGGCACGGGCCTGCAGAGCAATAGTATCCGCTTAGCATGGGGGTCACATGCCCCAGGTGCTGCTCACAACCATGTTCTACCCTCACTGCACACCACCCCACTCAGATGACATCCAGCTATCCTGCTGCTAACATAGGACCAGTGGCCACAATTTCTCCTACCTTGAGAAAAGTGTTTGTGATTTCAAAGCCCAGGTTCCTATTGGCTGTTAAAACATGGGGAAAAGAGATGGATGGGCTGTAGTGATATATACCTGTCATCCTGGCATGTGTGAAATAGAGTCAGGAGTGAGCTCACAGTTGCCTGGTGTGCTACATGAGACCCTGCTTCAAAACAACAAAAACAAGATAGTAAAAGAAAAATGTGACGAGCAGGTGGTAGCTGTTCTTCCTTTCAGAGAGACCTTAGCTGTCCTAAAGTAGTTAATAAAAGATGTAAAACATCCTGTTTTAGGCTATTTACTTATTGACAGGAAACCTACAATGCAGATTTTCCTTCTGCAGAATTCCTGGTTTAGGTCTGCGGTGTGTATGGCTTAGTCAGGTCCTCATTCCTTGTCTCAAGGTTTACTTCACCAGAAATGAGCTTTTGTGAACCTTGTTTTCTAGCCTAGAAACATTTATTCCACCTTATATTTGCCAAAATTCCCATAGTTCAGACCAATATCTGTCCTTGAGATCAGCCTCACATATGCATCAGAGGCTTTTCAAGTCATTCTGGAGACAGAGCCATCT